CTTAATCACTGAGCAGTCACAACAGCTAGAAGGGGATTAGTCCCCTGCCTCACTTTATGATCAATGTTGGAGCTACCAGGCTCACAGCTCTGCCTCCCAAGCACTACAAAGTCCATGTTCCTAAAAGGTTATCCAGTGAAAGCAACAAGTGATTATGACTCTGAATTTGTTCCTCTGCTGAGGTTACCTGGCTCCCAGACCACAGTCTCTGAGCCATGTGCATTCTGCAGCATTTTCATGTTCATGACAGTAGTCAGAAAGATGTTGTTTGTATCAGTTTGCTGTAAAGGAAATCTGGTTCTGAATGTTACAGAAGAGTTAAGTGATGTGGAGCCTGAAGACTGCGTGAGAGGGGATGTGAAGACAGCCTGGGTTGCTGATGCACTTGGCTGCCTAAGAATGAGATTGAGCAAGGGAAGAGAAGGGTGGGTGCTGCTCTGGAAGGTCATGGCAGGAATGTGTGGAAAGGCCTGGTGCCTCCACATTGTTTCTGGGTCCTTCAAGGCACCTTCTGTATAGACTGGGGACAAAGTTATTTGGAATCACCTCTTGTCACACAGGCTTCACATCTGACATTTTGAACGTCCTTGATGATTTATACATGATTTCAGTGTTGTTTAACTTGTGACAGCTGAAGCTGAGCAGTACTGTTTGTGTTTCTAAAGGGCTCCTGTAGACAGCTTTACACATGTGTACTGGAAGTGCGCTGTGGCGTAACCAAGGTGTGGAGAGATTTGCCCAGGACAAAACATCACTTAAAATAATAATTAGTCAAATCCATCCATACTATAATTGTCAATAATAATCTTTAATTAAAAATGAATGGTATATTCCTCTGCTGTTTTGCCTGGATGAATTGGTTTTGTATCAAGTGGATGAGCTGTTAAGGTTTGAATAATTGGGGTGGGACTTTTGTATAATTAAAAAAGATACATTAAACTGTTGTTATGGTTTGATGTGTGTCTGCATGTAATTTTTCTAGCCAAATGTCAGATGTGGCTGAACAGCTCTGTGTAAGACTTGTCTGGAGAGAAATTTAGGCCTCAGTATTTTTTTCCTACGTCTGTCTGCTTCTGTAGAGGTGAGTGCAGTAAAATAAACAGACTTCTTTTCTGATAACTTAAATTAATAATTCCTTGCTCAGTGCAAGAAGTAAAGAAGTTCTGCTAAGCTGAACATTTATCTTCTGTTTAATTTAGTAGATGATCTGCTGGAATGCTTTGCAGCGCAGTATTTTGGGGCAAAAGTGAAAGTGACAAATTTAGAACTGCCAAGAGAAGAAAACAGGAAAACTCATTTATCTATAGCAAAGACTCTGATGTACAGCTTGTTATATTTTAGATTTGCAATAGGATCTTTGCTCCTAGGAGTGTTCCAGAACTTCTGTCTGCTTGGAAAACTCTGGATACCTCTTTCTTTTCAAAATATAATAATCTACAAATAGAAATACCAGCAGTGCCCACAAAGCAGGTTCCTCTGTGAATGGAGGGTTTGGTTTTTATAACATAATGATTTAAGGAAACAGTAATGCCAGGATGAATACTTGAACCAGCTCATTCCCAGATATTTTTGTAAAGTCACATTCAGTGTTATATTACTCCTTAAATCTCAAGATGGATTTCAGCCCATTTCACTGACTGTAATGTACAGTCACTGTAGCACTGTTACAAAGCACTGTTAGCTCTCTGTTTTACTGGGCCAGTGACTGCTTCCAGATTGTCAAGTCAAATTTCTTATTTTCCTTTTCCTCCATCTTTCTGAACTATCATCAAGTGAACCAAAGCCCTTACTTTGGCTGTTTTAAGGATGATCTGGCACTCCACGAGGGTCTCACTCACTGCATTGCTGCAGATAAATGCCCATCTCCAGAGGGAAGTGGTGAGGTTAATGAAGAGCCACATAAGGGCAACTAAACTGAAAAGATGGAGAAGCTGATTACTGGGGGAGTCTAAAAATAGAGTTTTCAGTTTTAGAACATGTCAGGTGTGGCAGAGCAGCTGTAAAACCATTACCAAACCTTGCTACTTTATATACCTGGAGGACAAGAAGGTGACCAGGGCAAAGGGTTAACTGATTGTCACAGAATCACAGGGTTGGAAGAGACCTTTTAAGATCTTTGAGTCCCCATGTCCTAACACCTCAACTAAACCATGGCTCCGAGTGCCACATCCAGTCATTTTTTAAACATGTCCAGGGATGCTGACTCCAACACCTCCCCAGGCAGATGATTCCAGTGCTTTATCACTCTTGCAGTAAAAAACTTTTTCCTGACATCCAATCTAAATTTCCCTTGGCACAGCTTAAGACTCTGTGTTCCTACAGCTGTAGGAAAACAGTGAGGCAAATCTGCTTAATATGCTTAATCCTGTCATCAGTCAAACTCTGTGTGGTGTCATTTCAGACTTCTACATTTCAGGAAACTTGTCCCCAAGTTCTTGTACCTATCCCTGCTTAGAGACGTAAATGATTTGGTAAGAGAATTAAAAGTGGGTAACGCTCTAGCTGTCAGGATGAACTATCTTACGTGGATAATTCAAGGTTTCATTCTTCCGCTTAGTGCTCAGCTTGTCCTTTTTAACCAAGGGAAAAAACGTTCCTTGACAACTGGTGTTGTCATACTGTGCACTTAAGGACTTCAAAGAGAGTAATTTTAATTCCAAACTTAGTGCCAACCAGTGTTTCCAATAATTAAACTCTGTGATCTCTTCTGATTCCATTTATTTAAATAAATGACTTAGGGATAATGAAATCAGGATTGAAATGGAATGATTTGGATTAGACAGTCACTCAGAGGTTGTTCCAGCCTAAATCATCCCAGAATTTTATTGGTTTTTATTAAGGCTGAAGCCACATAGACTTTGAATTAATAGAATTTGTGAAGGAAAAGGAAAGGATTCCATTTGCTTCTGAAATCCTTCTGGATGCAAGCTGCTACTGGTTGCAGTAGGATATCTGCATATATGCAGTTGTCATCATCACTATTTTCAGATTTTTGAGGATTCACGTCCTTGAGCTGAAATTCTAAAGGTATGATTCCTAACACCTGACACTTCTGTCAGCTCTCTATCCTCTCTGCAAGTCCCTGGATCTAGATTTTATACAGAGGTGTCTGTGACACTCAAACCTCTCAGATTAGTGTAGATCTGCTTTTTTTTTTTTTTTTAGCTTTAGAAAAATGAAAACAAACCCAAGAGATTCTAGAAGGATAGTATAATATGTCTGTTCTGCAAACATATGTAGGTTTCATCTGTCATTTCCCTGCAGCAGACTGCTTAGTGTTAACATTCTCAGGCTATCAGCTTCTACATCTGGACTGAAGCAGGTTTTCATATGACAGTAATTATAATACTCCTTCTAGGTTTTTTTTTTCATCTTGGAATTAGATCCACCCAGTTGGAAATCTCTGAATCCACAGCAAGAGTATAGCAGGTTTTTCCACATTAATGAGTAATTAATTTTGAGCTGCAATCCAAAGAAATATTTAATTGCTTACCAATAAAGTCAGCTTGCAGCAAAGAAAAATCTCCTTCCCTTAAAAAAATAGTTCTCGTGACAGAAAAATTCTTTATGATGTGAAACATAACTATTTTAGAACAGTGAAAACTTAAATTAAATCATTCTTATAGGCAAGTGGGTCTGCTTTTCCCATTTTTTGCCCAATATTTTACTACTGCAAAATTAGCATTAGTCAGAGAGTTACGTCTCTGCTTAGGTTGCCAGAATGTAAGGGAGAAATCCAAATGTAAAGGGAGACCTCGTGGAAACTGTTCCTTAAATCAGAGAGGGACTGACTGCCTGTTTTAGTGCAGCCCAGAGATCCACCACAGATGCCCAGGCAGTGATGTGTCCAAACACCCACCTTGTGCTTTTGACTTTTCCATATATCCTTACTGGTACATCTTAGCATGCACAAGCTTAGCTTTAGCAATTCTGAAAGAGCTTCCACAAAGAACATTTATTTTACCATTACTTTTAATTGCAACAGGTAACATTTTTCTCATTTTTTTCTTGCTGGTTCTTTGGATATTGTCCTCAGCCAGGCAACATTAGTGGTGACCTTTCTGCTGATTCCATACAGCGATCCTCTATGGATCTAGTTGTAATTTCACACAGGGGTTTTTTTTTTGGCTTTTTTTTATTCTACACAACTGCCTTCAGTGGAGGCATTTCTGGTTTCATTTAATAATTACTGTCAGGGTTTTATAGCCTTACTGGTACAAGGGTCTCAAAAGTGCTCAAGCAACATAAGCTACAGCAAATACAAAACATTTCTTTTTTACAAAATTTCTCTTTCTTCCAGAGAATGTGGTTTAAATAAGTCATATACATAGTTCCCTGGGAGAACCTTCCCAGTTTTTTTACAAAAGGCTGTTCTTCATTATGAAAGATATTCTTTTGATCAAGATGCAAATCGACTGTTTCTCATGCTCTTCCAACAGTAAATATACACTTAAATTCCAGAAATTCAAAAGCCTCGTGTACCTGCAGATGGCTGATTTTTTACATCCCCTTCCTCGTGGAAAGCCTCATGTTGTGAAATGTCTCTTTGCTTCCCGATGTTTCTTAGTCCTGGGATTTAAAATCCTTCCTGCCTGTCTCCAAAGGCACTCAGAGGCTGCAGACCTCAGTGCCCGGAGCTTTGCAGGGGTGTGCAGAGCCCACACCCGCCTGGCTCACCTTCCTTGCTGTCCCGGCCGGCAGCTGCGTTTTGTTTTCCCCTCAAAACACCTCTCTTTTCATGGCCGGGGCAACAAATGAATCAGAGAGAGGGGAAAAAAAAAAAAAAAAAAAAAAAAAAAGAAGAAGAAGAAGAAGAACTTTCACCTTGCAACGAAAGCACCTGGCGTACCCAAAGGAAACGCTGTGGAGGGAGATGGAAAATCAGGATCCCGGTTCGTTTCCTTGGAGTTCTCCGAAGAGGGAGTGGGGCCGCCCCCCGCTAGGGGGCGCTCGCGAGGCCGCGGCCATGGCGCTCCCGCCTCATGAGGGAGCGGCCCCTCCCCGGGCCTCAGCGAGGGCAGAGCTTTGGCGGGAGCCCCGCGATGGCTTCGTGCTGTGGCAGAGGGGCCGGTTCGTAACTTGCTGTGAGCTGATGGCTTCGTGCTGTGGCAGAGGGGCCGGTTCGTAACCTGCTGTGAGCTCCGCTGTTTAGAACGGGGTGCTGGCAACTCCAAGGCTGGGGGGTCTGTCCCTGAGTGGGCCAGTCCCTTCAGAGCTGGACTCCATGGTCCCTGTGGGCCCCTTCTAACTCGGAATATTCTGTGATTCTACAGCCTTGGCGGTGCTGAGAGGAAAATTTCCATGGAGAAGGTTATCCCGTGGTCCCTTGGTTTGTTAACAGAGCAAACAGCCCTCTGACAGCGCTCCAGGGAAGGTGAACACCCAGGCCAAGCTAGCGATGCTGGTGGCAGGATGGCAGTGAGTGTGGTAAATACAGCTAAAACCAAGTTTGGGATGGCATTTATGGTATTGACTTTCACAGTATAAATCAAACCCGGAAGACATTACCCATACTTGATACAGCTTTACATTTGTAAAGTTCTTGCTTTCAGAGTATTATTTCGATTTGAGAAGTCTAAATATAAAACCCACCAAACCTGTAGCATAAAAACAGGAAAGGAAAACATTTAAGACTTAACCTAGAATACTTTTATTTTTAAGTACTTCAACACAGTTATTCTTGGCTTTGGATTTCTTGGACCTAAACTTAGCTGTAATGGACATTTACCCCTAATGAGACTTGTGCTGATTCCTGTTGAACTTCAGCCTAAAATTCAAGGTCAAATGAAATCTGACTTTTTCAGACCAATTTATGTCTTTACAATGCTTCATATCGGCTAAACAAATTTGGTTTGTTGACTCCAGTTTCCAAGTTCAAAAGTGAATTTTAGAGGAACAGAGCTAACCAGGGGAACAGATTATCAACAGGGTGGTGTGAATTTTCCATTACTCTAAGTGTAAACCGAGTAAGCAAGTTTCTCTAGAAAACACGCAGGTTAGTTATGCTGAAGAAATTGAGGTGAAACGTGTGCTTCATGCAATAGATAATCCAAACTTCTCTTGGAGCTACAGAAGACTGGAGCTCAAGAAGGCACTTGCCATCTGGGGTAAGCAGTTTTCAATTTGTGTGCTAAAAGGACCCAGTGCTATAAAAGGGCAGTGCAAGCAAGAGAGTGCTGTGCCTTCAAGACTATCCACTGGTTTCAGTATGATTGTGTTACCTTCAGTTCAAGTCTCTGTTTTTGAGGACCTCTGCATGAGAGTTACATGTATTTATATAGCAGTATAAAGAAATTAACTTATTTGTGTAAGTGTAGGAAAAAAATTGGCCAAAGGTATTTTTATACCAAGTTTCAGGCTTTCCCCCTCTAAGCTCAAGCTTGTCAAATTGATTAGTGATTGTTACAGTGTTTAAATCATACAGATTCTAAGTAGATGTTAAATAACCTAGCTCGTAGTGGGTGATTCATGAGGCAGGGTGCTTTAGTAGTTGAAGCTGAGTCAGGAAGACTTTGTTCAATACCTGAGTTCAGTCCTACTGAGTAAAGTCAGGCAGTTAATTCTCTTCTTGTCCTGGTTTTGTCAGACCAATGGTCTTTACCTTTTTTGGAGTTGAAATGTTTGCAGAAAAATTATGTCTTAGAGTTGTTTAAATTATAGAAACCTGTGGAAGCACAGCCTGCGTACAGACTTGGTGTGCATGGTATCCCTTGTGCTAGTGTTCTAAAGCAGCAGGTTATAATTAAAGGCAGTTTCAATTTTTTTTTTCTCCTAGAGTATAAACCTCCCTTCCAAGAAAAAGGCATTCTGTTTTCAAAGCTGAGTGAGAGAATGAGGAAATTAAGAATCTTTTCAGAAACAGAGCTAGAATGTATCACAGTGTAGTGGGATCTCCAGCAGGGAAAACCAGAGAAAATGGGACTCAGAGCCTACAAAGACCCAATGGGGACCTTGTAGCAGTCACACAAATGTATTTAGTACTGGCCACAGTTCACTTCTCAACTTAATGTATTTCAAGTGTGATTTCCTACATTATGTCTTCTGATACATTCAAGCACAGCAGTTGTACAAGATTGACTTCATCCATACCAGACACAAGACTTTCTTCCCTTGAATACAAATCTTTTACATCTGACTAAATGAGAACCACAGCTGAGAGAAATGAATTTGGTGAAGAAACCAGAAACTTGCAAAGCAAATTACTGCAGTTGGAGGGCCAGTGTTTCATCCAGTGAGTTTAGTTCCTTTTGGCGAGATAAGCAAGATGTTCCTTTTAGAGAGAGGCAAGAAAAACACAGACTAGCTCTCAAAAAACACAAGGAAAACTGTACATTGAACTATGATCAGAATGCAGGCTCAGAACCTTGCAATATGTTTGTTCACTAGGAAAAAAGCAATATGTGATCCTGAAAACAAAACTGTAAATATCTCTGGCAAAGGACAGAGGTGATATTTAGCTGGAATATCCCAGCTGAGATTCCAAAGCAGAATTTACCATTTTCAATAGAGTCCTTGCTAAAAGCATGAAACTCACATGCACGATGGTGGTGAGGGGCAGTTTCTCACTAGGAGCAGGAATGAGGTTCTCTTTGGACAACATGCCAGGAGCTGATGCAGTCAGTCTGACTTTGTGTGAGCTGCATGTTGTCACAGAACCACAGAATGGTTCAGGTTGGAAAGGACCTTCAAAAGGTCATCTAGTCCAACCCTCCTGCCATGGGCAGAGACATCTTCCACTAGACCAGGTTGCTGAGCAAGTAAAATAATCAAACTGTGTTTAGAGTGGATAATCTGTAGGTTTTTGAGTCACTGGGGATAAAATTGTTCAATCAGAGCTGTAACTGAAACAAAGAAGCCAGGCTGATACCTTCTCTAAGGATAATTTCTGGATCATCAGAAGTTAATTTTTAATTCTCCATGAAGTAATGTATCCTCAGGGAATAGTACCTGTGTGAATAGGTACTGTGTATATTTACATAATTCAGCTCATGTTTGAGAGGCTGGTTTTAGTGTCCCTATTGGGAAAATAAGATCTTTTTTAATAGGTGGTTAATTTTTCATGTGTGTGAGCAACATCATGTAGCAAATTTTAGTCACTATTTTAGAATGCTGCCCATTAAACAGAGCTACTGTATATTTTACAGCTTACAAAACTGTCTTGTCAGAAAAGCAGATTTTTTTGCTGTCTTTCTATTCCTTGCTGAGGAGCATTTTACAAGATATAAATGTGTTAGGAGTAGTGTACTGAATAATAAGTGAGAAGTGAATTGAAATGGCTTTGCATTTTTAGAAATAACCATTTTAGTCAAATATTCTTGAATGATTCTAATGTTTGCAGAACTTCTGACTGAACTGGTTGTTGTTGATTATATTAATTTTTCTGGACCTTGGTTTTACATGAAGCCAGAGCTCCATGGCTTTCTGAACATTTTTCTCTGTAACTGGTGAATTAAGTGCTGAAACGTTAGAGGACTAAGCATTTCTCTTGGTACTCTGCCTTTTCTGCAGTGAGCACACCAAAGTCAACATCCCCATAACAAACTGGATATTTGAATGCAAAGTTTGGTTTCGTTTTGGTTTGGAGAAGGATGTTTCTTCCCATCTACAACAAATTTATTTGTGTTGAAAAGTAACACCCTGGAGCTAAGGGAAGTAAATTCAAAGCTTTAAAATGTAGTTTATATGTATATATTTAATCTGTCCCTTTCCTTACCCCTGTATAGTATTTGAGACTCCCAGGGAGAATCCAAGAAAATGCCTTCAGAAGTTTGGAGTTTAACCTGTTTGGGGTTGATAGTAGATGTACATTTGACTGCAGAGAAGCCAGTCCTTTAATTTTGCTGATTTTTTTTTTTTGGTTTTTGTTTGTTTTACTTGAATGTGATGATACCTGAAAACACTTATGGAAAACACAGGCCCCTTCTGAAGGTTATGTGCAGAAATACTGATGATGTGTAGCTCAGCACTCCTCCACTTCTCTTACAGATTCATGTTGCTTATTCTCTTAAACAGGTGAGGACTTGGCAGTTTAATGAGCCTGACAAAAATTCCACAGTGAAATTGAAAATAAAAGGCAATTTCTTCAATAATTAATCACAAGAAACACTGGCATTTCTCTGAAAATACTTTTCCCAATGAGAAAATAAAGAGAAATGTGTAAGACAGATTTTCCAAAGACAGAGACACAAATGCTTGTCAGGGATTGGAACAATAAAGACCTACTGGTGTAAAGAATGAACTGCAATATGCTCCTATTCTAACTTTTGGACATTTGTCCATTCATGCTGATTAAACACTGGATTATTTTGTCAGGTTTTCCAGCATTGTTGAACTGAGTTAAAATGTAATTGGCTTAAAACAAATAGAACAAAACCCTCATGCAATAAATGTCAGGTTCATGCTGACTGGAAAGAAAACACCTTGTTCCTGCCCTGTGACCCTGTGCTTGTGTTAAAGCACAAAGTCTCCAATCATACAAGTGGAATATAAAACCTTTCACTATTCACTTTCTCCATGTAACCAGGCAGGTATGTGGGAGTGTGGGCAATATAAGAAGCTGACTTTTTATTTGTGTAGAAATTCAATAGTGCACCTCACAGAGGAGCCTAGTGAAGGCTCAGCCAAAGATAAGACTCTTAACTGATGAGCACCATGGTCCAGATCCTGTAGAGTCACTGGTGTCCAAGACTGTTTTGGAGCATGGAACAGACATCTCTCTGCAGGTGATGGCCAGAGCTGTGGCTCCTGAGCTGTCAGGGTTCTGCCTGCCTCGGTGTGCAGCCATCCCCTGGCTTGTGAGCCCTGCACCTTCCTGCAGAGCACACCTGAGCTGCACAAACTGGCAGTGGTCACATTCTTCAGGAGACAGGCAGGAAAGCAATGGCCACAACAACAACCTTGTGAGAGCTGAGCCACATCTGGCATTGCTGTGGAAGATCCTCTCCCTAACAGGGAATTTGCCATTTTCCCCTACACTGGCACGGCTTTCATGGCAGGGGTGGGCAGTGCTTGCTCTTGACTCATTTCTTCTTTGGGAAGCGTGTGTAAGTAAGTATTCACACCCGATTTAGTTAAAGTGGGTCTTTGGAGACCAGGGGGTAGCAAGGAAATCCAGAAAGAGGCATGGGTTGAAGCTGCCCTTCAGAACTTCAGTAGCATCTTGTTGAGGAGAAGACGAGAGCCCAGATTTGTAAGAGAAGAGTCAACAAATGAAACTTTCAGTGGGAGTATCTTCTGTTCTGGGGTTTGACCTCCCTCTCCAAAACCCTTGGTGTCTGAGTGGCAGTGGCAGGCGGGTTAGTTTGCCCTTTTGCTGTCAGTGAGGAATGTGTTGGTTCTGTAGGTACCCCGCTGGGTGCTTTCCCAATTTTCCTTTCAGGGTAACTCATGGCTTCCAAGCACAAGCTCCCGACCTTCACTTGTGCTCT